AAAAAAAAAAAGAACTTGGAATTTGGACACTGCTGGTCTGAACATCAGGTATCTGTTAGGAGGTTGTTGGCCTGTAGGTGGTAAGGAAAGACCATCTCTGGCTCCCCTGAACATCTTAGTTGTCTCTAGGTGAGCTATGGCCAAGATCTGAGACAATGTCAGTGCTCAGCTGAACTCCAGGCCTCTCAGGAAGGCAAGCCTGCAAAAAGGACAGGCCTGTAGAGACTAGAGCTATGGAAGGGATAGCCAGAAGGAAGCAGACATGTGCCCTTTGAGTGGCATCTCCAACAAGGGCCAGGCACTTATCCTCACTTCCAAACTGCGGCAGTAAGAGGAGAGAGACCCCGGGCCTGGAGAAAAGCGCTCACCTGATAAGCTTGGTTTCGAGAAGAGATCGTAAATTGATGGCTGAAATGTTAATCTGCTCAGACTTTTCTTCCCAAGTTGTGGATCCATCTGCACACCCAGGACAGGATCCTTGTGGTGAGGCTAGTGGTCAGGCCTGCTAAGAGTTGGGTCTTCCTAGGGATTCAGGGTTAGTATAGGGGGAGGCTGCAGGAGACAGCCTGACCATTCAAAAAAAAGGGATGGGGTTGGAGATGTAGTTCAAAAGCAGAGCACCGCAGTTAGCCTTAGCAAACAGTGAGCCTCTAAATTTATCCACAACGTGGGGGCGGGGTGCAAAAACAGAACGATACAGAAGAACTGGCCCCACGGTGCCCTTTGTCAGCGTCCCATTTTATCTGCTCCCTCAAGGGGAGGGGACCAACCCCCTGAAGGACCCTATGTCCTCATGGATCACGCAGGCATCCTCCATCTAAAGATCTCCCCTGCAGCCATCTCAGACTCTAGCTGGCTCCCAGGGATGTTTCCATCCATGGCCCTGGGTGTCTTAAGGTCAAATCCTGAAGCTGCCCTGAGCAGAGGCTTCATTCTCATTCCCTGGGGTTCTGTCCTCTGGTAGGGGAGCTAAGCGCTCCACACGCCTGCCCCTCCCAGACACGGCCCAGCAGAACTAGCCTGGGAACAGAAAGGGATGGCTGCCCAACCGGGTCCTCACCCTGGTACACTTCATGGCTGGCTGCTTGGAACTTCTCTATTCCTGCGCCCCCCTTTTTCTTTTGCCCCTCCCCACTTCAATCTGCCTGGCCTCCTGGACAGATTATCATGGCAGAATCCTCTGACATTGGGTCAAGTTTTTTCCTGGAGTTGATGGTGGGGGTGGGGGGCTGGAGAAATGGCCCAACAGTTAAGAGTGTTGGCTGCTCTTCTGGAAAACCCAGGTTCCATTACCAGGGCCTTCCTGGTAGCTCAGAGTAACTCCAGTTCTGGGGAATCGGATGCCCTCTTCCCGCTGATGTGGGTACTGCACACACAAAGTTCACATACAGACAAAACACCCATACATATTTAAAAAAAAAAAAATCTAAAAAGATATTTCCTTGGCCTAACAGATAACGAGTGGCTAAGATAGAAAATAAAATACTTACCTGACACGTATGAAAGAAACTCTGGGCCCCATCCCCAACACAGAAAAATAAAGTTCAAACTCACCACAAAATAAGTTAAATCCAAAATCAAGTCCCTATTGCCCACAGCTAATAATTAAATTGATGTTCAGGTCTCAGGTAAGGATGCCCCCAACTTCTCACTAGAGGCTCTGGAACTACCTTCCCTCCCTGCCCGACCCCTAGCATGGAGTGACCCCCCAGGCCTAATGAAACCAGGTCCTTGAAGGTCAGATCCCCACAGTCCCTTGGGCTGGGCACCCAGGGCAGGGCCGCTGCATAGCCATCTGCCTGACCCTTTGTGACCTACTTCTTCCTTAACTGTGGAGAGGGGCGGGCAAAACAGAGACCCCTTTACCTGACACACGCTACCTCAGACTCAGGCCACAAGCTTCTCCAGTCCTAGGGGCCACTGGGCTCCCAGATCCTGAGCACCCCCTACCGGGCAGCAGTGAAAGCTGCAGCCTCCCATCCCCCCACCCACACCCACACCATGGTGGAGGGAGGCACTGTGGACAGCCCCTCCTTACCCAAGGAAAGCCTGTTTTTCCAGTCACAAGGAACAGCTTCTCACCAGCCTCTAATGACTGCTTGGCTCGGGCCATTTGAAATCAGAGGTGAGGCTGTCCCCAAAGTCTGATCGCTCTGGAGAAAGTGACTTCCAAAGCGCAGCTCTCGGACCCCGGAGACCTCAAGGAGCAGTGGAGGATTGCCTTTGGTCAGAGAAGCAGCGTGGGGCCCCCTCGGCCACCCCACCTGCTCCCTAGGGACATGGCCAGAGTTGGAATGGTCAGCCAAACCCCTCAGGGAGCCGGGCACAGCCTTTGTTCAGAAAAACTCAACACAAACACACAAAATCCTTCATCTTCAGTTGGGCCGGTCAGACTTTATTGAAGTACGTGGCACAGTGTTGCACAGTTTCCGCCCGGCAGCTGCGGGCGCCGCCACGGTGCAAACACACGAAACAGCTGTTAGGTGAGACCAATAAGTTAATGTGAAGGATGCTCAGGTGTGGGAAGGGACCAGCGCTCAAAGGTCCCCCGGCTCTGTGACTAGGATCTAAGGCACTTAGGGATCCAGAGCACACACTGGGAGGGGGGGTGGGGGGTATGGGGGTGGGGGGGTCCTCTCTATTACTAGGAAAGGGGCTCAGAAGCCAGACAAACCAAAGCAGGGCATTCAAACACAACGTGGAGAGTGGAGCTGGGACACCAGAGGATGCAGTAAGAACACAGTGGCAGAAACGCCCTGTGCACCCCCCTCAAGCCCCCTCTAGCCTCCCGATTCCTAACACTGGCCCTCCCCCAACCCCAGTGCAATGGGGCCACGCTGTTTTCTCTCCAGCAGGAGAGACAGACCACTGGAGTGGGGATCAGTGTTTTTCCAGTCCAGGGAAGAACTGGAGGCGTGCTCCAGGGAAGACGGCCACACACAATCACATCGCTAACCTTCCTAGCTGCTCCTAGGCAAGATGCCGACCTGGGCATCTGACCAGGCTGCAAAGGAGGCCTAAGGATCAGAAAGTTAAGCGTGCGGGGCGGTCTAAGCGCAGGCAGCTTCCTGGCTCGCCTGGTCTCAGAACCTGGGACAATTCGTTCATGTCGTCTAAGACAATCCAACACCCCATCAGGAGTCATCAATGGGCTTCTCCAGGTGTGAACAAACAGGGATTTTTCTCAGAGCAGAAGCTGGCTGGGGAGAAAAATGGAAGGGGCAGTAACTGCCTCCTCACACCTCTAACAGGCCACAGAAGTGACACATATATATATATAATTTTCCAAGGTGCTGGTGTCTAAGACTATGAAGATTTTAGAGGGCATAGTTGGCCGCCAGCCCAGTCTCACAATGCCCAGAAGTGGCTGTGAAGGATGAGGTGTTTCCCACCAACCAGCCCCCTAGCCCAGGCCCCTGATTGGAGAGTCTAGTGTTAGCCCCAAACTCCAGGTTCAGTGGTCTGGGAGCTGGAGGGTATGGAGACAGGACCGGGGTGAGGGCTGCTAACCGAGACCCGCGGAATCAGGAAAATGGCAGGAAGACAAGGCTCCACCAGGACATACTGCCCTTTCCTGTCTTTGAGTGGTGTGCATCATAGAGCACATAAAGGGGAGAGGAGAGTCCTGCCCAGCGTATGGTACCCAGAGATCTCGGAAACAAGGGAGGAAGAGTCCTTGTTGCGTGTGTGTACCACCTTCCGCCTCCAGCAGGTAAGAACCAGCAGCTACCTCAGAAAGAAGGCACAGAGCATCCGGGGAATCCCACGGGGCCCTCTACACACCACTTGTCCCGCATAAGAAGACAAATGCTGTCTACTAGCCCAGCGAGACCTCAAGTCCAAAAGGCCAGACTCTGGGGAATGAAGTATAATCATATTATCGGAACCTTGAAGACAAATCACAGATATAAATCCTCACGTCAGGGCTTCTGGAAAACACTCGTGTAAAAAAGAAAGGTCTCAGCTCTGAGTCATCGGCCGGCGATGAGGGTAGGAGAGCCGAAAGAAGCCCTTTAAGGGTGAGGGTCCCAACCCCAGCTCCAATATAAAAGTCTTTCCCGGTCGTGGCCAAGGCTTGCAGAGTAGTTACACCTGGCTGATGATCTCTCCGTTCTCGGGCACGAAGACTTGCATGGGAGCCCCGTCTGGCGACCTCCGGAGTACACACACTGGGGGCACCTGTCACAGGCAGGAGGAAAGGAGAGGCGGATGAGCAAACCGGGTGGGAATGTCAGCCCTGTGAGCCCACTCATACCACTGCTTTCGCTTAAAAGGCATAGACCGTCCATTGTGAAGCCCCGGGGGTCGGCTCCCGCGCTCCCCAGGAACGACGCTCCCAGGTACCCCCAACCCCCACCCCCTCATCTGTTTACCACTCCAGGTTCTCTGGGGTGTGACGGGCACCCTGACCTTCCCCCCCACCTTTCCTGGACTCATGTCTCATCACCGTCCCTGTCTGACAGGTTGGGATGGGCTAAGCCTAGACCAAAGACAGGTCCAAGCTCGCAGGAAGGGGAAAGCATGTCAGCTGGAAGGGTGTGCAGCCTGGGACCGGGCCAGGGTGCTGCCCAGCCAGGGATTGCAGCTGCAAACCGCCCAAAGGACCTGGGGGGAGGGGCAGATGATGCAGCTGGGCTGCTCGGAATCTGGGGTCTCAAAGAAGCAGCCTGTTGGTAACTTCCAGAGCGTGTCCCCTGCATAGCCTCTGAATCACGGAGGGAGAATAAAGGAATGATTCATGCCTGCTCTCCTCGCTCCCAGGACGAAGAAACGGGGCTTCCAGAAACCAAGGCTGCACCCCTACCCGAAGTCAGAGTGATCTTAATCCTGCATACTACCACCACAACCGACCCCCTGGCCTCTGGGAGCCTGGGTGACAACATTATCATTTAATCATTTTGGCCTCTCACCCACCCTGAGAGGGGTCACTTCCTATGCCTACCCTTTAGAGAGGGGGGTAGGACCGGAAACCTACGAGTTCAGCACCCCACGGGAGCAGAGAACTTACAAGAAGCGGGCCTGGGCTTAGATCCTGGTCGTCTAGCTGTTAACTATGAGACCATCTGTTTCTCAGCCTGGCTGCACTGAGTGGCTTTCTGCAAACCCATTTTCCAGATTCTCCCTTTGCCCTGGATTCTCCCTTTGCCCTGGGCCCTCGAGTCAGGAAATTCCAGGGGTTAATTAGGGTTGCATGTTTGGTTTATGAGGAAGTGTATCTGTTTTGTGGATCATCTGTGAAGCCGTTAGGGGGAAAAAAAAAATCTCCCCAGCTATCTATGAGGATGATCTCTACCAGGGCACACTGGGAATGTGCTCCTTCAGTAGTAGACACTAGACAGAGCAGCCACAGGAGCCATGCATGCCCAGGGAAGTCAGCCGTGCCTTCTAAAGCCAAGAGGAAATACTTTTGGGGGGCCTAATTTTCCTAACTGGGGATCACTCGGCCGGAAGTCTGCTGCTCCACTGTCTTCCCGCAGGGGAAGCTGTACCTGTGTCCGGGGTCCCGAGGCCCGCCCGAAGCTCTCCCTCCCGGGAGGCAGGCTCCTGACGCGGAAAGCCCCTTGGCGGTCGAGCGAGTGGGGGCGGCTGCTCCGGAGACGTGCCCGCTCGTGCCACCACCTGAGCTCTTCGGAGACGGAGGCCTTGCTGAGTCCCCTGCCCGCAGGGCTGTCCTTCAGCGAGGGCGTGCGCACGATGCGGCTGTGCGAGGGCACCAGGCGCTGGTAGCGCAGGGGCGCACCCTCCTCGTCGTAGGCGGCACTCAGCGCGGCGCGACACAGCTCCCACTCGCCCGGTGGCAGGTGGCCCTCGGCCACCATCACATAGCGCCCCGTGGGGAAGTATCCCGCGGGCAGCAGCAGTTTCGGGTAGTGAGTGGTCAGCTCTCGGCCGCAGGCCGGGCCCCAGGCCCCACGATGGCGAGGTGGCTCCGGGGGACAGAGGGGCCGCAGAAAGGAGATGTCTGGGCTGCTGCTGCCGGGTGAGGTGGGGTGGGAGATGCTGGAGACGTCAGAGCCGCTGTCTTCGGAGCAAGAGTGGCAGGCAGGGTGTGGCAGCGGGGGTTTGCTGGGCGTGAAGCACGAGTCTGGCACGGTCACCGTGTAGTGAGTGGGGCGGCGGCGGGGAAAGGCACTCCGACCTCGGCCTTCCACACCCGTTCGGAAGGAGTCCACCCTGAAGAGGAAAGCAGGAAAGCATTGAGCTGGAGAGGAGCCACGTTGGAGTGATGAGTAATGACCTTGGAGGCCAGGGCAATGAGCATGTGCTAGGTCTTACTCTGGTCAGACCTCCTCAGTCTTGTCCTAATGTGAAGAGGTAATACATTCCCTCCCTGCATGCTGTATTGCTATACTGTGCCTGCTTCATTCACACATAAGCAATTGCTTCTAGCATTTTCCACATCGGGATAAACTGATTCCACAAGTGCTGGCAAAATCCAGGTCACAAGTCCCTTGCACAAAATAGGTAAGTATTACAATACATCCTGTGGCCTTTAAATTATCTCTGGAGTGCTTACAATTCCCAATACAGTGTAGATGCTGTGTAACTAGTTCACATATTGTACTATTTAGGAATAGTGACAAGAATCTGATGGACAGCCAGGTGGTGGTGGTGGCGGCGGCGGCGGCGGCGGAGGCGGCGTACGCCTTTAATCCCAGCACTCAGGAGGCAGAGGCAGGTGGATCTCTGTGAGTTCGAGGCTAGCCTGGTCTGTAAAGTGAGTTCCAGGACAGGCTCCAAAGCTACACAGAGGAACCCTGTCTCAAAAAACAAAAAAACAAAACAAAACAACAAAAACAAAACAAAAAACAAAACCAAAAAAAAAAAAAGAATTTGATGGACAGGGAACATGGCTCAGAGGTAAGGACAATTGCTTAGCATGCATGACATCCTACGTTCAATTCCCCAGCCCTGCAGAATGAATTTGTACATGTTCGGTACATATGTGATTTTTTTATAGTATTTTGCTTTCTCAGTTGACTCAGTCCACAGTTAGGAAGGGCCAACATTCTGCGACATCCATGTCACACTGCTCAGCCAGCTAGGGCAGGCTATGTTCAGTAGCATTTCATTCCGACTCTGGTTAGACATTGTCATGCACATAACATAAATGTGAAAAGCTTTCATGTGTTCCAAAGGGGAGGTGCATGCAGTGCAGGATCCCGCAGGGGCTAAAAATCGAGCCCCTGCCCTGCTTATATACCGGGCATGGGGCTGGGTTGCCTTTTAAAACTTTTGCACAAAGACATTGTTTATAAAATGACCTTGGTGGTAGGTACAATATAAAATAAGTTTTACTTCACAGCTGTTGCGTCCGTCCAGTGCTACCTGATACGCAAACTGAGGAGGCTTTGGTGGCACCAAGTAGGCATGGCTAACGCCACCTTTCATTCCTCACTGACTGAAACTATTACCAGGTAGCGGGGGCTGGGAAGAAACACACAGTTGATTTTCATTATCCATGGGTTTCAGATTTGCCAGACATCACCTACTTGCTAAAATTGATCTAATTCCAAAGCCAATATACACAGCATTTTCGCAATGGCCAAGGTTGTCAACTTGACAGGATCTAGAATCATCTACAGGACAAACCTCAATATGTCTGTAAGGGAGTGTCTACACTGGGTTAGTTGAAGTGAGAAGATCCACCCTAAATATGGGTAGGGCCTCTCCTTGAGCTGGAGTCCTGGGCTGAAGTAAAGGACTGAGAGTTGTTGAGCGGTGGCGCATGCCTTTAATCCCAGCACTCAGGAGGCAGAGGCGGGCAGATCTCTGAGTTCGAAGCCAGCCTGGTCTACAGAGTGAGTTCCAGGAAAACACAAAACAAACAAAAGGACTGAGAGTGAGCTGGGAATCAGCATTCCTCTCTCTCTGCTTCCTGACCGAAGATGCAGGGGGACAGCCACCTCACCCTCCTGCCACCACGCCTTCCCTACACAGTGGACAGCATCTCAAACCGTGAACCAAAATAAAGTCTCCTTCGCTGAGTTGTTTTTGCTGAGTGTTTTGTCCCAGCATCAAGGGAGAAAAGTAACTTGCGCATACTCATGGTCACTTGATACACCAAAGAATTCGGATTGCTTTATGTTACACATCTCCAGCAGAGGCCGAACAAAAATCAAGTGCTGAGTGTGCTGTGGTGGGACAGAGGTACAGCACCAAGGAGGCTGAGGCAGGGGGATGGTGAATTCCAGGCTAGTCTAGACTACATAGGGAAACCTTATCTACAAACAAACAAACAAACAAACAACAACAATAACAAAACACAGCTGAGGGCATGTAGAAAGCGTCTCCATCACTCACGCGGCCCTCAGTTCCTCCCCCAGCACTGCCCCACAAAGAAATAGAACTAAATAGGAGTCCGCGTGCCGCCGCCGCCGTCGTATTTCATCCTTTAGACGTCCTGAGGTACCACTTAGTGTACCTGGGAGGGGGTGACTTGATCATTTTTTGTTTGTTTGCTTGCTTGCTTGTTTTGAGAAAGGGTCTCTCAATGTAGCCCTGGCTATCCTGGACCTAGTTCTGCAGACCAGGCTGGCCTCGAACTCACAGAGATGCACCTGCCTCTGCCTCCCAAGGGCTGGGAGGCACCACACCTGGCTACTTGATATTTAAAGTGGCCCCCACAAGTGATGCTGAAGTGACCCCTGCAGTTTCTAAGCGCAAGAGTGCTGTGAAGTGTCTTGTAGAGAAAGTAAGACTGCTAGACCAGCTTCATTCAGACTAAGTTACATGCGTTAGTTCATGAAGTTTAGTGAGTTCAGTGTTAATGAAGCCACAGATACATTAAGTGTCCTTAAACAGAAACTCATGTTCAATAAGGATATATACACTACTCAGTTAATAACAACACTGTCACCAAAGCTTGTATTTCCCTATAGGACTGTGGTTCTCAACCTCCCTAATGCTGTGACGGCTAATACAGTTCCTCATGTTGTGGTGGGGCCCCCCAACCATGAAATTACCTTTGCTGCTACTTTGTAACTGTAATTTTGCTCCTGTTACGAACTGTAATGTAAATATCGGGGTTTTCGGTGGCCTTAGGCGACCCCTGTGAAAGGGTCATCTGACCCCCCAAAGGGGTTGAGACTCACAGGTTGAGAAGCACTGCCATAGGAAATTGTGTGTTTACAGCAATGTTGTAGAACACTACTATGAATAACGAGAACCAACTGTACATCAGCTGGAAGAGGGAACTACACATTGTCCGCGACCAACAATGAACCAATGATCGTCAGTGCAAGAAAACAGGCCAAGGTTGGACACCCCAGGTCAAGGAATGCTTCCTTCGTGAGCGAAATGCTTTGAGCTCTGTGGAAGAGCAGCCTCTACCTCTTCGGAGAGGCACCCCGGGGAGGGATGCAAAGGAGCAGCCCAGGCTCTGGCCATGCGTCACCCAGGATGTCTCAGCGGTACCTGTGTAGCTTGGGATAGGAATGGGCTATCCCCTGCACCTCTAGGGCAGCCTTCTCACCTCAGAGACTGCGACTGGCCCCTCCGGCCCTGCATCTCAGGGGTAGCTGGGGCGCTGGTGCGGCCCTGCCGCTGGCCAGGAACACTTCGGATGGGGACCACATGGCAGGAGGCAGGATCCAGCAGCCACAGGCTGGAGGTGCTAGGCTGGTCCTGAGGGGTGGTGGCTGGGCTGCTGCGAAGGGATTGGTGGTAGGTCAGCGACAGCAATGTCTTTGTTTAGAGGTGCGGTTCTCAGCCTTCCCAATGCTGGGACCCTTTAACACAGTTCCTCATGTGGTGGGGATCCCCCAGCCATAAAATTACTTCGTTGCTACTTTATAACTATAATTTTGCTACTGTTGCGAATTGTAACATAAATAACTGTGTTTTCTGATGGTCTCGGGTGACCCCTGCAAAAGGGTTGGTCTCCACCCAAGGGGGTCGGGACCCACAGGTTGAGAATGACTAATTTAAAGGCTCACGAGGCAGAGGGCCCCAAAGGGAGTGGTACAAGGTGTCAGCACTCCCAAGAGCTACCAGTTCTCACACCTCTGGCATCACACAGCTAAGGAGAGTGACCGTCTGCATGTCCCCCGTCCCCCCCCACTCCCCCCCCCCCCCCCACCCCCACCCCCCACCCCGGTCTACCTTCCCAGTCTGGGCCACCCTGGCACTTTCCACCTGTTCAGGATCTCCCCGACCCCCTTCCTCCCCAGCCTGACCTGGACTCGCTACTGAGCTCTGAAGACTTCCTGGGCTTCTCATAGGGGTGGTCCAGGCTGGTCTCCTTCCACGGACTGTTTTGGATCGGGGCCCGTTCCAGGCCGCCCGACTCGGGTCCTGTTGGCTCCAGGCCCTCAAGGCTCTGGGGTGGGAGCGGCCGTGAAGGTGGTGCCGGGGACTCTGGGGCAGGTTTTGGCGCTTTGGACTCTTCTGCAGGGGTAGGAAAGGCAGAGGCTGGGGAAAACCGGCTCAGCCAGAACCTCCACAGCCTGCGCCTTGCTCTGGCTCCTCAGTGCCCTGACCTACTGCTCTAGGCCATAGCCCCAATCCCAGATAAGAAGAGCTGTTTTATTTTTCTTTAGGACTCCCTCCCTCCTGCCCAGCCCCGCTTTAATTTTACACCTGCCTCTTTCCTGATTCTCTCTCCTCCACTTTCTAACATTTCTAGACAGCCCTCACGGTGCCTGTCTGCAGCGAGCTAGTTTTCTGGTTTCTGCTGCACCTAGGTGCCCCATTTCCTTATTGGCCTGGGCACACCCTGGGCACACCCTCATTGCCTTCTCAGTCCACTCTGACCCTCAGTACTCTTAGTCTTTTTAAACAAGGTCCTTACTCCACAGACGTGTACTTCCTCTCCAGCTCTACCTTCTTCTCAACCACGGCAATGATTTTGAGTAGACCACTAACTGGCTCTAACTGGCTCCGAAATATAGCCTCTGAGTGAAGCAGAGACACCCGGGGTTAACGGGCCATCTTTCCCTTCCTCATCAAAAGGATCCATTGACAGAGGTGCTCAGCACATCCCCCACCCTCAAACGGGGCACGTGCCCCGCCGGACACACAGAAACTGACATCAGTCTGAGACAGACCCTTAGCTGGTACCCCAGCCTTCATCAGCACCCTAAACTCTCCAGTCCTCGCTAGCGAACTGCAGATCCCCACGGTCTTGACTGCGTCCCCAGACTTCCCAGCTCACCTTCCTCCAGGAGGAGCCCATCCGACAGGGAGCTATCATCAGAGGCGCTGAGCTCTGTAAAAGTCAGAGAGGGAAGAGAAGTGAGAGATAAGCCCGGAGTCTAGCAGCCCAATGCCTCTGCCAGGAGAGCCGCTGAACTGCCCCAGGAAATACCTGCCACGCACGAAAGCACGTGTTCAGAACTTGTTACTTAGAGGTAAAAAGGGTTCATAAACTAGGATCCGGGAGGCAGGAAAGGTGGGGTTAATCCTGCCCTATCCTGAACCACGCAACCCTGAGTAAGCCATTTCAAGGCTCTGGACCACAGACTTCCCATCAGCCAACAAGAGCAGGACTTCCTGGGGATAAAGGGAAAGATGGAAAGCCCTTTGAGAAGCTTAGGATGAAGAGCGTTCTGCCGGGGTGTCTGTAATCTTCAAACATCACTAGGGCAGCTCATCTCCAGGGTCTGACACAGAAGAATTCCTGTAGGACCCACGAGAGCAGCGGGGGTGGGAGGGGCTGTGGGGACCATGAGGCCAACTGAGGGCAGGGTCTGGCCAGCCGGCCCTCAGGAGAGTCGTCTGCTGGTGCTATGCAAGTCGCCTGAGGGAGATGGAGCATGGCAGTTCCGTGTGAAACAACAGCAGTTGACACTCAGGAAATTGGGAGGAGCCTTATTTTTCTGATGTAATGCTCTGGGGTTTAAGGCTAACTCCGAGTGGCCCAGATGGAACCCAGAAAGCATTTTCAACTATTTGAAAATGAAGATGAGAAAACATTAATCATGGCTAATGTTGCTACTGTGCCAATACTTCCTGAACATGTTGCACACACTCATTCATGTAAAACCCATAACAGCTAAGGTAGATACTATCTTCTCCATGTAACAGAGGAAACGGAGTCTTAGCCCAGCAAGGAAGTTTGGGTCAATCCACCAAAAAGGTGGCTGCTGCTGAAAAATTCACACCCGGCCAGTCTGGCTAGAGCCTCGACCCCCCGATTAGCTCTCCCGTCAGGCAGCACAGGTTATTACCAGAAAGTTCTAAGAAGAGCAAACCGTCTCAACCATCTTGAAATCTCTCTCTCTCTCTCTTTTTTTTTTTAAGGACAAACAGTGTTAAATTTTATATTTCAATAATGTTATTGTCCGTTTATCTAATTGACATTAATAAATATCAACTTCATCTGACATTTTGAGAGTTTTGCCTTTGGATAACATAAAATAGGCATTGTTCATCAAAGTCACCTAGTTATATTTATCATCGTACACCTCACTAAAGCATAATGTCCACATTCTGTCAGATGATTTTTTCCTCAAGTTCTATTTCATAACGTGAACGTGATAATAGCCTTAACTTTGGAATCCAATCCCACGATTTAATTATGAACAACCCAAATCTTTCATTAAGAAAGGCTGGTAAACTTCGGCCCACAGACCAAATCCAGTCCACGGGCCGACTTGACCAGTGAAGTCGTATTGAGACACAACTACCGATCTGTGATGTCGTCCCCCTGCTTCAGCATTGACATGGCAGAGTTGGCTGTGGTAAGGGACTGTATAACCCACAGAGTCTAAAATATTTGCTCTCCAGATCTTTATGGAGAGAATTGCCAATCTATGATCTGTAACTAAAACCAAACATCAGCTTTACCTATAGCAATTCTTACCGTCTGTGGCTTTGCGGCTAGGCGGCTGAGAAGCCAGCCGAAGCTCTGCATAGCTAACAGCTAACCTTTGCATTGGGTCCAGGGAAAAGAAGCCCTCTTACTGAATGCTGGTTCTCTGTTTCGGGTCTTCGACAAAAATTTTAAGAACAAAGTATTTTATTTTTTTGAAACATGCCAAGTTGAAGAAGTTACCCAAGTGTTACTCTCGCAGCCCACCAGGTCTATGTGGGTTCACCTTGTAGGCGTTGGTTAGGATGCAAAGGTCTGGGAAGACACCGGGTCCCCATCGCCTCTAATCCTCACATAAACAACACTATCAGTTTGGTGCGTCAGAAGGTGAAATGCTATGAGGAAAGTCTCCAGACACGCTGGCTTTGCAGGGTGGAGGCTGGGAGGACCAGCTGCCAAACACCAGTGGCTCCTGAGTGCTCCCTGTCTGTCTCCACCCTGTTCTGGTTCACCCTTGTCCTGCTCTCTGTCTACCACAATTCTCCCCCGGCAGTCCTGGCAGAATACCCCAGGCAGAGATGTCAATATGAGACCATACTTACAAAATTACACTGCCGGACAAACCAAACCATACAACATGAGGCTACATTTTTTTTTTTTTTTTTTTTTTGAGACAGGGTTTCTCCGTTTTGGTGCCTGTCCTGGATCTCATTCTGTAGACCAGGCTGGCCTTGAATTCAGAGATCCACCTGCCTCTGCCTCCCGAGTGCTGGGATTAAAGGTGTGTGCCACCACCAATTCAAATTAAAAATTCAGTTCCTCCGTCACCCAGGGCACAGATCAAATGCTCAGTAGCTACATGCAGTAGATGGACAGCACAGCATTTCCATCATCATTGAGTTCCTATTAGGCAGTGTTGCTCAAGACTGACACCGTCAATCAACAAACACATACTGAGCACCCCATTGCGTTAGGAGTTCAGGGGGTGATTCCCAGGCTCACTCATTCTCAAAATTAGCTCAACACCTGACCGCTCCTTGCCACCTGCAGAGAACTGACTAATTACCCTCACCTGGCTAATTACTTTCTCAAATTGAATAACCCTTGTGTGCAAAGAGGGTGGGTGGGTGGGGTTTCGTTTTGATTTTTTTTTTTTTTTGAGTTTGTTTGCTTATTTTTCCTTTTTGAATTGAAAACACCCTCTAGCCTCAAACTAATTATTAATCTCTCTCTACTTCCTCCTTTCCAGGCGAGGACAGTGACAGAGGAGCCACAGAACAGGAATGACCAGTCCAGAATGACCTCCTCTTGCGCTCCCAAATCAGGGCACCAGAACCCAGAACCTCAGGCCCGTCTGGAGGGCAGGGTCCGTGCTGGAGCCGAACAAATTGCTTGCCATGCCAGCCGGTTCCTACACACACCTCCATCTTCTCTGGGCTAAAGGCCCTGAGAACCTTGACTTCTCCCTCCTACACAGGGGTAAGCCAGAGCCACAGGCAGGTCCTGGCCTGCTTCCCCACTTCCAACAAGGAGTGTCACCAGTCTCGATGGCAGCAGTCACGACAGTCCCTCCCCCCTAAACCCCACTCTGAGCAGAAGCTCCTGGCAATGGCAGTGCCTATGGGCAAAAGAGCTTCCGAACAGTACATGCCAGAGAGGGACCAGAGGGGTTGAGACCAATTGGGACAGGACACATCTCATCATTGATGGCTCAGTACAGAGGTGGCCCTTGGGGATCACTGTGCCTCACTCAGCAGCTATCACCCCCATACCCAGGGCCTGCGGGAAATAGGGAGCAGACGGAGAATGCCTTTTTTCTTAGAGCCTTGGGGAGTGAGAATGATGTCCTATATTGGAGCCAGAGCAACTGGAAGCAGAGTAGGGTCTGGCCACTAGGCCCTGGGTCAGTCTAATGCTCTTCCGGCTTTCCTGATCAGCCTTGGCATGGAAGAACACATCATTCTTTGCCCTCTACTCCAGGTTCCCAAGGATGACCTAGGCATGGTACATGGAGACCAGGAAGGACATGGTCCATGGGGACCAGCTACAGGGAAGTGCATCATTGCAAAACCTTTGGTTTACTGCACTTTAACCTGAAGATAATATTCCAGAATGTATAAACCCTTGGGTTATGATCAAGCAGAGAAATACCTTCTGCCTAGAAAGCCCTGTAAAACTGGGTTCCGATGCAGGAGATGCAGAAGGGTGGAGAAGGTCTCCCAAGGTAGAGATGCCTTGATGGAGTCTGTGTGGACCCAGGAAGGAGTACCCGGATGGCGCTAACGCGAAACATTAACACAGGCAATAGCCAGAAGCATAACGCAAAACGGAGTACAGGGCTGCTGCGCTGTGTGAAGCGGGCTCACCTCTGCCCAGGGAGGGCACAGTGGTGGGCGGGGGCTCGCTGTTACGCCGCCGATCACCCAGGCAGCGCTCAAGCTCCCTCAGCTTCTTCTCCTCTTGGAGCGCAGCGTGCTTCCGCTGCCTGCGAGCCTGCCGGCTGAGGTTCTCCTCTGCACACAACCTGCGAGCCGCCTCGGTGATCTGAAGCTGCAGAGCCAACTGGCGCTCCAGGCTGCTCAGGGGGTCCTGAGGAAGAGGGGTTGGGAGTGAGGGCCGAGAAGCCCTTGGCGTTTGGGGAAAAGAACACTCGGTGCAGCCCTGACCCGGTGCCCGAGCAGACAGCGGTGTCCAGGGACATAGAGCAAAGGGCCGCGGTGGCGGCGGCGGCGGCGGGAGGGGCTCAAAGCCAACTCGTCATTATGAAAAGTTAGCGCAAGAGTCCCACCCCAGCTACCTGCTGCGCAGGGCTGGGCGAGGATTTAAGTGGGACACTTTCCTTCCTGACCCCAAAGAACCAAGCACGTCAACCCTTGGGAATCTCGCCAAGGGGCAGGTCACCTAGAGCCAGAACCACCCCACCTCCTTCCAGCTAGGCTGAGAAAGGACAGCCCTTGTGCTACCCCAACCTCCCCGGCCGCTGCTTCTTTGTGGTGGTTACCGGTATTCTTAATCCTCTGTCCGCTAGGGCCAAGCCCAGCGTCTCCCCTTGAGCTTCCGGCTCTCCAGCTGCTGAGGTGGCATGCTTACTCAGAGCCAGCTGGCCTACCCATGAGGAGAAGCCCCGGATGAACACGGCCAGCACCCACACCGGATGAGAGAGGTGGCCAGGGCACTGGGCGGTTGGCTTCAGGAGTCAGCCTTTGGGGAGGAGGCACAGCGGCCATCACCTCCGGCACAGCCTCACCTCTCTGTGCAGAGCCCGCTCATCCAGCTTGTACGCTGCTCCAATCCTGCGCCGGACCTTGGGGGCCTTCTCGCCTGGCTTAAGGGGATACTCTGCGGGCAAAGTGCCCGTCAGCTCCTGCGGGGGAAACAGAGTCAAGTCAGGCCCCTCTCCGCTTGCTCAACCCTTGTTCAACCATTTAAACTTGCCGTCCAGTTCCACATGGCACGGACCTGGCATTCCAGAGACCTTTGAAATCTCTTGCCTACCTCACCTGCATCATGCCGCAGCCGTCTTCTCAGTCCCATTCTGGAAGCGCACTCTGCTCGCTCCCTCTGGCCACTCCCTCCTGAGGGCTACCCTGACCCAAGGCACAGTTACCAAATGTGCTTCCATCTCCTTGGCCCCTCTGCAGCACCTCATCTCTTCCTTTCCTGTGCTGGAAACCCCTGCCAGTTCTAATTGCCCTCTACCCAGTGCCCAGGCCCCCAGGGGCCTTACCGCCTCCCTCAGGCAGAGTCTGCGCAGTTCCTCCATGCAGGCCTCCAGCCTCGCTTCCAGGGCCCTCTGCTGCTTGCGTACCGCGTTGGTCAGCTCCTTCATTGGGGAAACAGGGCTGTCGGGGCCTGCAGGAAGACGAGGGACGCTTGCTCAGGAACCCCGAAGCAAGGCGGAATCCCTAGGACACTGCTGACCACCTCTGGGAGTGCACACACCCCTGCCGTCTCATGCGTGCCCACAAATTACAGGCTAGCTGCTGTGGTCTGTGTCCCAGCCACAGAACATCATGTCTCCTGGCTGCCCAAAGGTTGGTTAGCATTACAGGGAGAGCCGTCCCACCAGGTGACCTGTATCGAGGAGGAGGGCTCATGGTCAGAACTGTGTCTCCTCCCCTCCTTTCCTGCCCTCTATCAAAGCCAGGCCAGACTAGACCCACGGGCTCAGGTTTAGCAGAGAGACAGGGCATTAGCACCAGCTAGACAAGAGTTTTCAATTTCTTGGTAATCGCCGGAGCTAACGTTGGACACGGCGGATCCCTGCTCCAGACAGGACAGAAACTCCTGGCTAGTGCCTTCCAGCAAGGAAAACCGCAGTTCCTGGAGGTGCCAGACCTTCCTGTCCCCCGAGTTCCCCAGCAGAAGCCTCTCTCTCCACCCTCTCCTCCCGCAGCCCTTTGGGAGTTTTTAGCGTGTAACTAGCCCAGGGCCTGGGGACTCAGGCTGGAGTCAGGGACCGGGGCAGGGGAATTTCTGAGATCACTCACCAGACTGCAGGATGATGCCGCTGTCGGTGTCACTGACCTCATCCTTACTCTCCATGATGAATTTCTGCGGGGAGGGGGCACAGAGGAAGAAGGGGCTCGGCCGGTTCCAGCCTGGGCCAGGATGTGGAGGGTGCCTGGAGTTTCCCCAGCTTTTAAGAGAAAATAACAACAAAAACACTCTGTGAAGCCTCCTGTGGTTTCAATGCTTGTGGGTGGGGTGGGGGAGTGGAAGTGAGGAGGATCGATCGTGTTTCTGCAATGATCTGGGGTGAGAGGTTTCCTGGGGTGGGGGCATTCTGAGGGTACAGCCTAGCTCCCCCCGACTAGGTCTCCTCCGCAGAAAGTCCTCTAGGTCCAAAGGGGTTAACTGAACTGGTGTCTGTACAGGAACCAGAAAAAGAACAGAGAGGAGACGAAAAGCGGGAAGATGGGACAGGGTGGCAAAGGACGGAGATGACAAGGTGTCTTCATGAGGTATAGCCATCCTCACCTAGACAGCATGGGAGGTAGGAGGTATGGCCAACTGTCCCACCGGCTAAAGGCACTGCAAGACATGGCTGGGCAGTGAGCACAAAGCCAAGGCCGGTCTGGGACCCAAGGACCAGGGCACCATGCTGTCTGGACCTGGTCATTCACCTGTAGGTCGAGGAAGCAACTCCATGCCAGAGAGTTGTCCCCAGATCCCAAGCCATCAGAATACCCAGAAGCCTTCCCAGGGAGGAGCTGCCAACCTGCAGACTCTATACCCCACAGCTAGGAGGGAAGGGTCTATTGGGTTGCTGGGAGCGGATGGAGGCAACAGCCGACTACAGGTTACCAAGGATGGAAAGAAAACCACCGGCTTCTCTGCCTCCCTAGGACCGGATGGCACTTGGGTGGTGTAGGTACAGCCCAGCACACCACTCACCTGTGACCACCTCTTATCGCTTTCCCAAGCCCACACCCTCGGTGGGATCCCAGCTGGCCAAGGCTGGCAGCTGTTGGCGAGAGCAGGGGGGGGGGAGGGGCGGGTGGAGCCCAGGCGGAGGTCTGGAAGGAGAGGCCAGCCACCACCTCCTCACTGAGTCAGCCCCATTGAGCAAGAGTCCAAAAGTCCTTCCGAGTTCCTGTCTGGAACTTATCCTTCTGCCGCCACAGAGCACAAGGGCTACAGGGGTGGGGTCGGGATGGGGGGGGGGGGCTTCGTCCCGGTGGGACAGACAACAGAGTAGAATGGTGGTCCCCGGAAGAACCGACTGCTAAGCAAAGCGAAAGAGCAGGTGAGGAAGGAGAGCTTTAACAGACTGTGTAAACAGCAGGCAGCTTATCAATGCACCCGTGGGCAGCAACGGGTAAAACCAAGGCCCTGAAACCGACATGGACTTTGCACTCTGGAATTTCAATCTTCTGAGCAAGTCTGAAGAATGGAGGCAAGAATACAAGAAATAAAAGTTGGCGTGGTACCTTCACAAACACACGAAAGGACCGGCCATGCAACCCCTGGTACTTCCAGGAAGCTAGGGGTGATTGTTAATTCATGCTGTGCGTGTGTCTCAGGTCCTTACTCTTTCTAGCCCAGAGAAGCAGGCAGCTGGGCCTTCCTCCCACCTCGGGGCATCCTCCTACCCTCCCCAGAAGAGGGCAAGCTCATCTTCAACTAGGAAGCAGGACCAAGACTCTAGCAGGGCTGGCAGCTGCCACCTGGAGCCTTTTGCTTTGGACAGAGGGGGGGTGGTAAATGGGAAGGGAAGCCATCAATTAGTCACACTTGCTAATTAATTATTAACCACTAAGACGTTGCCTTGAAAGGCTGAGGTAACTCCAGCCCTGCCTCTCAGGGGGACTCGGGCTGTTGCAGACAGGGGGGTTCGTCTGGAGATTAAGGGATGGCCTAGCGTGTCTACTCCCCCAGCTTCTCTCTCAAGGCTCTGGTATTCTCTGTGCACCCAAGAGGATGCAGGGCCAGCTCTGGGCTCACTTGCTGCTCCGGGGGCAAAGTGCACCCGCCCAGAGACTTGGGTTCAGCGCTCAGTTGTGCAGCTTCCTGGGACAGTGAGGAGGGTCTCCGGCCTCCTAAACCCTGCTTTTCCTCACAAAGATCACGAAAATCAGACAGGCCTAAGGCCCTTCCCAGCCCCTAGGTCTGAATTGAGACCTTCTGGGCAATACCAGGCTGAGAATAACACCCATGCAGACACATAGCACAGCTCCCCAATGTGAGGAAACTTCCCCAGAATTCACAGGGGCAGCCCAGGCCCCACCCAGGAGAGCTCCGGCCTAGGGTGGAAGGTCTTGCTTTAGATAAAGGTAGTTCAGGTCACAGCCCCAACCCCAACTCAGGAGTCTCTGCCTCACTGACCCTCCCAGCCAGCCCAGAAGCAGCCCACCGCCTCAAAGCCACCACCAGACAGAGCCAGAGGGAGAGAGGCAGGCTTAGAAGGAGGGAGAGAAACTCCAGCATATTTTCTCTGGGGGGGGGGTCACTGGGGATCCTCCCCATCACAAGTATGCCCCTAAAGCCAGGTCCTCTCTGTCCCAGTTCATCTCTATTGAAAATTTAGATCTGCTCACAGGGTCCCCATTTCCAAATCCACTAGCACCCCCTATTACTCCTGAGCCCAGATATAACCTTAGGTGTGGGGAATGATAGCCATGTCTGTCCAGGGCTCCCTCCATTTCCTGGTCTGCCTACAGCTCAAATCCACAGACTGGCCTCCCCGCCGCCGCCCCCGCCCCTCTCACCTGCTCCAGAGCTCAGTCCAAGATCAGGGAAGACTCCTGTTCTCAGATCAGGGGTTTGAGGTGCCTCTCATACCACCCCGGGGTCTCTCAGGTCACAAGCAGGCCCTGGTGCTCTTGCTTCCAGCAAGTTCTCCGCACGCCAGCCACCGCCGATGGCCTGGCTCTCCCTCTCATCGGTCCCGCCTGCCTGCTGTCTCTCCCAGGCTGCCGGGCCAGGGGAACCAGGTTACTTGTTACAACTTGAGTCAGAGGGGAGGAGCAGGTGAGCAAGTCCTTCCCTGAACTAATCCGGCTGCTGGCAGTCGCCCGCAGGCAGCTCCTAGGCCTCTGCACTTCCGGGCCGCCGAGGGGAGCAGGGAAAAGGGGGCTCCCCATGAAAGAGAACCAGCAGGCAGCAGAGTCAGATTTCCATAGTCACATGGAACCCTGATACAGCGCGCTGAGCTGTGAAGTGCTTCAGTGCCCTTCTGTCGGGGTTCTTCCAGCCTCCCCTGTACCCCACTTTCTCTTTCTTAGAAATTAAGGAATGTTAAGCCCCACCCCACCCCCACCCCCCAAAAAAACAGAGTAAAAAATCCACTGTCCGCAGGGAGCATTATCAGAAAATCTACAGACACACAGGGTCACTGCTTTCCCTACACACAGGTGGAGGTCACGGCCTCAGTTTTCCCAGATTAGGATTTAAAAGCCTCAGGCAGCCTTGAGGGTTGTGGCAGACACCTGTAGCAACCTGCTGTCCCAACTACTTGTGATCCGAGACAGGAGGATTGTATGAACCCACCATAGACTGAAGACCAGCCTGGGTAACAGAGCAAGATGCTATATTTAAAAAAAAAAAAAAAAAAAAAAAAAGAGGAGGAGGAGGAAGAGGAAAAGACAGCTGTGAGTATATGTAACTCATTGGTAGAGCACAAGCCAGAGGTCCTAGGTTTAAAACCCAGCACCTAAAAAAGAAACAAAACCAAATGGACAACAAAAACAGGCCAGGACTGCTTCTGCAGAGACCCTGGGGTGCTAGAGGCGAGGACCAAGCTGTCTTCTTCTTATCCCAGCAACATCAAGAGCATTCCACCCCATTTGGAACTGACACCCATCCTCAGCAATGCTCTGTGGGGCACTGACCCGCACAGTCTGGTCACCCCTTATTTCATAGGACAGCCGCAGTAACCTCCACTCTCCAAACGCAAGGAAACAGTCACGAACATGGAACTTGTTCCCTGCAAAAAAAAAAAAAAAATCGGCTTCCAGGCCTCTCGGTCCACTGACACTCAAGCAAACGGAAACCTGCTTAGACTACAAGAGCTGAGGCTGACGGTAGCCTCTTCCCAGAGGCTAGAGATACAGGGCAGACTGGCCTGCGTCTCTCAAGCCTTTGTCCCATCACCTCCATCCTCCATCTCTGGGACCTAGGATCCAGTACTCGGTACACACCTGAGTTGCTTCCTTCTCCCAGCCCCTAAGACACCCTGTCCTCACTCTCCCTAAATGCCAGAGAAGCTGCCTGTTAAGCATCCCCGGAGCAGAGCCGTGTCACAGTCTGCCACCGCCCTTCACCACCACCCCGTTTCTACACACAACCCCCCCCCCCATACCTCCACATTCCTGTACACACCCTCTTTCCAAACAATGTTAGCCCCGGAGCCCCACGGGCTGACCACCTCCTCCTCTCCCCAAGCGGAGGCCAAGGGGCCCTCACAGGGGACAGACCCTCCCCACTGTGGGGAGCATGCTCCCTGAACCTCCCAAAGAACCCACAACCCTTCCCCACCCCCCAGTCCTCCACAATACTGCAGCCCCTTCCCATCCCCCCACAGGTTTACACGCTCTTCCAGGGTCTGTGACTCTGGGCTTGGGCTGCCTTGGCCCATCCCCCAGCTCCAACTGGGGACGCGGTGGTGGAGTCTCTAGAATTAACTCAGCTCAGTTTTTTTTTTTAATGTATAAAATAGACCGATTATGAAGCCCAATTATGCTGAAGTACAGTTCTGAAACCACAAAAACGTCACAGCATGCATACTTCATTATTAACATTAAACAAGACCCAGCAACCGGTCACTTCAAACAACGGATGAATGAAACTCTTTACACATCACTTCAGTGCGGTAGGAACCCGACTTCACGGGAAAGCCACGGATACTGATGCCGCCTCCGCAGCCTGAGGTGTACGGTTTGGACCCAATTAAGAACTATGGCCTCAGGTAACGGCACCTGAATGCAAGGACAGAAATCGAAATCGGGTGAAGGCCTGTACACACCAGGACATAAATTCCTTAAGCTGTCTTCCAGGAAAAGCCTCCAGGCCCTCACTAACGATTCTTGCTGCTAGAAACCAGCTTTTCAAGAATGGACTTGAGCAGAAGAAGCCAGGGCAGTGATATCACAAACTCAAACGCTCTCAAGCAGAACATAAGTCTCCCCCTTCCGCTCCCCCCCCCAAAAAAAAAGAAATATGCAACTTGCAAAGAGGCAGGCCGGGTAGCTTCCTCACTCTTCAGTACCCACTGATGCGAGAGAGAGGAAGAGCGTCCCTTATGGCTCCCAGCCTCCTTGCAGGTCAGCTGTGCAACAGAGCTTGTTCCAAGCTTTTGCTTTTTCTGCAGAAACCCGATGCTCTAGTAGACTTCTATTGAAGATGAGTAGCAGGCCCCTGATCAGTCATGGACCTGCAGACCAACCTGCTTGCATTGATCCTTCATTTTTAAATACTCCAATTCCCCACCCCAACAAAAGCTAAGGTTTGGAATGCAGATGACACACCGACTGTCCTCCTGCCAAGGAGGGGGTCGGGAGGGGGCCACACCAAGAGATAGGTGGGCACTTCGGAGGTAGCTTGGAACTTGGAACCCAGTGCCCAACTCTAGGAACCAGGAAGCTGACACTTCTGATCCCCAGTCCCAGAGCACTGGCGACAAGAAAGACCATCATCGACAGGCGAGGGAGTGAGGTTTCCTAGCGTGGCACTGGAATCCTATCTCGGTGGAAGACAGCCCTTCCCGGGGAAAACCTCCTCTTCAAAATCTTTCGTGTCCAAACTCTTCCACAGACCTGTAACCAACCATACGCCACTCCCCGCCGCTGGCCCGAAGTTCCTTCTTTAGATTTCTGTGATAGGCTAGGAGTCAAAAGTTTTTTAAAACCACGTCCTTCATCCTTACCATCACCACATCCCCAACAGCCCCCCCCCCCAGCAAAGTACAGGCACCCGCATTCCCACAACTTTACTCAATGAATTAACAAATCAATGGCCAGCCGCGGGAGCTCGCAGCCGGGAAAGGACGGGAAATTGTCAGGGACTCTGGGCAAGAGGGATGGAAGACCATCCCCCGTTACTGTTTTTCTTTCTCCATTCTTCTCTCTGGCCACTGGGAAAGGTGTTCACCCAAGCTAAACCAGGTAGGGGAACTCGGGCTAGCCGGGGATGCACCCTGCAATCAAACCTCTAGGCTCTCAGTAAAAAGCCCCTTTGTCCTGCCCCCCCAGCCCCTCCCCCACCGCGCCCTCCCCTTCCAGGCAGGCCTGGGACTTGGGCTCCTTTTGTTTGCCTGCTTTCTGGCTTCCCGGAACCTGGCCAGGAGATCCACCGGCCTGGGGAGAGGGTCGAGGGAGAAAGGTTGAGCCGTTGGAAACGGCTTTCGTGTAGGAATTCGGGAATTCTCGACCTCTTGGTAAAATGACCCCCGTTCCCCTGCAAGACCCCCTCTGCTGAGGATGAAGACCGAGGTTCAGGGGCTCGATCTCCCCCAGTTCTCCCGCGTCCCGTTCACTAAGTTTCCGCCTTACCTGTCCCACCGAGCTCGGGCGCCCCGCGCCTGCCCCCGCGCCCCCCGCGCCCTCCGCGCAGCTTCAGGACCTGTTGGCCCCGCCCATCTTCCCTCTCCCCAAGGCTCCCCCGGGCCTCCCCTCCCCGGAGGTATTTCATTTAACTTCGGCATTTGCAGCATCCCAAATGTTAAAGATCCCAAGACATCTGTCCCCTGGGGCATACCAAAGGCCCAGCGGAGAGAGGGGAAGATGCTAGAAGGGATTTGAGATTCTGATCCAAGAGACGGGGCGGGGCGTCACGTTGGGATGGGACAGTGCCAGCCCGGGTGTGCGTCCTGCGGGAGCAACCGCGCGAGGGGCGACGCTGCCCCCTATCTCCCGCAGTCGGGCGGCCGCGCGGCGGGACACCCCCGGCTAGGCCGGTTCCCGAAATCCGGGCGGGACGAGGCTCGACTAGAGGTCTTAGGGCCGCCTTTCATCCCCTCGCTCTGGCCCGGCTGGGGGCAGTTTTCATTCCGGAGACCCTGGCGTGGAAGAATGAAAGAAGACAGCATGCCCCTCCCCCTCCTCGCCGATTCCTTCTCGCCGCCCGGACGGCCGCGCGATCGAACTGGGGTCGCCTCCCCTCTTGCGGCCCCAGCCGAGTCCCTTTAGGGGTGGCGGGCAGAGCGCGCCGGCTGCGGGGAGAGGCAAGGCACACACTTCTGGGCAGCGCCTCCTGCTGCTAGCTGCGAGCCCGCGAAACCATCCATTCATTCACTTAGACTTGCGCTTTCCTCTTTTCTTTGGTTCTGTTTACATTTGTGCAGCCCTTTGCCAGCGCCAAGCCTGGTGGTTCTAAGTTCAGACCCCATCACTAGAGGGTAGCTCAGTCTATCTAGATCAAGCAAGTGTAATTTTGAAGGCCAAGGAGAGTGGAGGCCGACCCAGGCCGAGGGTCCCCAAAGCCTGGTCAGAGGAGTGTGCTGTCGAAGGGGACCTTGACAGGCAGGATGTACAAGATATATTGGGCAAAGGAATACAGCAGGTCCTAGGAACTGTAGGGCATTTAGGATAGGGGATGGGGAAGAGGGATGAGGGTGTGACCCGTCCTGGGGCAGAGCAGTTCCGTGTGGTTGTCTAGAAAGCTCACCCAAACTCTAGTCAACTATCTGTAGTCAAATCTATGTTCTCTTGGAACCGGCGCTTTTTCCTAATGAGCGTATGAGCTAAGTTGACTGGAGAAACTGAAGAGTAACTACAAGTCCGGATACTCCAGAGACATAGAACTAGGAAGGGATGGGGGTGGGGAAGTCATGAGAATGTGAACTCTGACAAGTGCAGAACCCACAGGGCATGGCTTATGGCAGCCCACACAAACCCATTGAATGAGTCCCACCTACCCATGGGGGAAATCTGCTTTACTCACAGTCCACCGATTAAAATATTAATCTCATCAAAGGAGAAGAAAAACCCACCTCATCACAACACTGACAATAATGCTTAACCACTTATCCTGTGTTCTACAGACTAGCTAAGATGATAAAAATTAATCTTCACTTTCCTTACTGATCTAGGCAATAATGTGAACAAGGTAACATCATAATCAGTTGACTTTGGGGAAGCTTGTGGAGGAGAGAGCCTGACAATAAGGAAATCTGGGAAGGCAGTGACATTTCTCTGAAACATTCAATTCTGCAGGGAAGTAGGAAGGTAAACAAGTCAA